CCACACCTGGTCACAATTGTAATGAGTTATAAATACAAATATTAAGTGGATCATACACCCACACTAGCGCGCACGCGCACATACATACACGAGGGCGCACGCACGGACATGTGCACACGAGCGTACAAATATATGCATACACACAAGGACGCACACCCACACACACACACCCACACACACACACACCAACACCCACACACACACACCCTCACACACACCCACACACACACCCTCACACACACCCACACACACACCCACACACACACACACACACCCACACACCCACACACCCACACACGCACACACACACCCACACACACGCACACAACACACACACACACACACACGCACACCACACACACACACCCTCACACACACCCGCACACACACCCTCACACACCCACACACACGCACGCACCACACACACACACACACACACACACACACACACACACACACACACACACACACACAAACACACACACACCCTCACACACACCCTCACACACACCCACACACACACACACACACACACACACACACACACACACACACACACACACACACACACACACACACACACACACATGCACACATGTGGTAATGCTTTATTTACAGCTAGCAAAGTCAGGGTATTTCTCCAGAATGGTCTGCAATATACCACTGTGGATAAAATACTTAGCCATTTCTTGAACACTTCTGAGTGAGTTGTTTCTAAATTCATTAATTTTATCACACTCCAGTACATAATGACGCAATGTGTGACAATAGTCCATCTGGCAAAGTTTACATTTCGTTTGGTCTACATCTGGTGGTGGTGATTTAACCTGCCAAAGATACTTGTAACCCAGCCGGAGCCGGGCAGTAGTGACATCCAAGAGTCTGCTTATCTTGTTGGATGCACCATAGACATGTGGCTCCTCCTGCATGATGGAATGATGATAGATGGACTGACTTGTGTCAATCTCCCTAAGTCTTAAGTCAATAAAGTTCATTTGAAGTTCTTTTCGTATTATTGTTCTCAAACTGCTAAATGACAACCCAAGATTGTAATCTACACACACACACACACACACCCACACACCCACACACGCACACACACACCCACACACGCAACACACACACACACACACACACGCACACACACACACACACCCTCACACACACCCGCACACACACCCTCACACACACCCACACACACGCACGCACACACACACACACACACACACACACACACACACACACACACACACACACACACACATACCTACACACCTACACACACACAACAGGCCTAGTGTCTAATCGACATGTGCCTAGGACAAAATGGTAACTAACACACACACACACACACACACACACACACACACACACAAACACACACACACCCTCACACACACCCTCACACACACCCACACACACACACACCCACACAGCTGTTCTACACCCCCAATTTCTCGAAAGGGTCAAATCAGCATCATATTTTATTACACAATTATTGTTTTATTAAAATTTATGCATGCTAAATTTAAGAAAAAACTAAATTTTCCACACTATTATTGTATTAATGTTTTTGAACGATAGAAGCTGTAAATTATTTATGTGGTTCCCCATGGCCTGATGGCTAACGCTCTCACTTCACACGGCGAGGCTACCTGGGTGTTAGTCGACTGGTGTGGGTCGCATCCTGGGACAAAACTGACCTAATTTGCCGGAAATACTCTGCATATCAAACGGCTTTCTATGTAGTAGTATGTCATTGATGTCAGCTAGGACTGTATACCTTGTACATGTACTTGCAGAATAAAGATATTATTATTATTATTATTATTATTATTATTATTATTATTATTATTATTATTATTATTTTTTATTATTATTATTTTTATTTTTTTTATTATCACACTGGCCGATTCCCACCAAGGCAGAGTGGCCCGAAAAAGAAAAACTTTCACCATCATTCACTTCATCACTGTCTTGCCAGAAGGGTGCTTTACACTACAGTTTAAACTGCAACATTAACACCCCTCCTTCAGAGTGCAAGCACTGTACTTCCCATCTCCAGGACTCAAGTCCGGCCTGCCGGTTATTATTATTATTATTCACCCCAGACCCATCCATTATGTGGGTGATAGTCAAAAGATTAGACACTTAATGGTTCCAGGAGCTGGACCGCAAAGTTTTGATAGCTGAACAAGCTAGTGGTAATGAATTATTTATATGTTTATATCTTGCAACAATCATAGTGAGTTATTTGTGCAAACATGGATTAGGTTACACACAGAAAAAAAAAAAGTAGTAATGCGTTATTTACAATGAGCAAAGTCAGGGTATTTTTTCAGAATGGTTGGTAGTGTACCACTGTGGATAAAATAATTTGACATTTCTTGAACATTTCTGAGTGAGTTGTCTCTGAATTTATCAATTTCATCGAGCTTTTATCATCCTATGGAGAGGGAGCATGGACACGGGGGTCGTCCCACAGTTACTAAAAACAACAGACATAGCCCCACTCCACAAAGGGGGCAGTAAAGCAATAGCAAAGAACTACAGACCGATAGCACTAACATCCCATATCATAAAAATCTTTGAAAGGGTCCTAAGAAGCAAGATCACCACCCATCTAGAAACCCATAAATTACTCAACCCAGGGCAACATGGGTTTAGAACAGGTCGCTCCTGTCTGTCTCAACTATTGGATCACTATGACAAGGTCCTAGATGCACTAGAAGACAAAAAGAATGCAGATGAAATATATACAGACTTTGCAAAAGCCTTCGACAAGTGTGACCATGGCGTAATAGCGCACAAAATGCGTGCTAAAGGAATAACAGGAAAAGTCGGTCGATGGATCTATAATTTCCTCACTAACAGAACACAGAGAGCAGTAGTCAACAGAGTAAAGTCCGAGGCAGCTACGGTAAAAAGCTCTGTTCCACAAGGCACAGTACTCGTTCCCATCTTGTTCCTCATCCTCATATCTGACATAGACAAGGATGTCAGCCACAGCACCGTATCTTCCTTTGCAGATGACACCCGAATCTGCATGACAGTGTCTTTCATTGCAGACACTGCAAGGCTCCAGGCGGACATCAACCAAATCTTTCAATGGGCTGCAGAAAACAATATGAAGTTCAACGATGAGAAATTTCAATTACTCAGATATGGTAAACACGAGGAAATTAAATCTTCATCAGAGTACAAAACAAATTCTGGCCACAAAATAGAGCGAAACACCAACGTCAAAGACCTGGGAGTGATCATGTCGGAGGATCTCACCTTCAAGGACCATAACATTGTATCAATCGCATCTGCTAGAAAAATGACAGGATGGATAATGAGAACCTTCAAAACTAAGGGCGAGTATGAGCAGTGAGTCAAGGGCGAGTGAACAGTGAGTTAAGGGCGAGTATGAGCAGTGAGTTAAGTGCGAGTGTGAACAGTGAGTTAAGGGCGAGTATGAGCAGCGAGTTAAGGGCGAGTATGAGCAGTGAGTTAAGGGCGAGTATGAGCAGTGAGTTAAGGGCGAGTGTAAATAGTGAGTTAAGGGCGAGTATGAGCAGTGAGTTAAGGGCGAGTGTGAACATCAAAATGGTATACAATACCGACAGGTTGTTAGGTAAGACACATGTGCAACAGTTAGACAACTTTATTCCGAAACGTTTCGCCTACACAGTAGGCTTCTTCAGTCGAATACAGAAAGTAGGCAGGAACAGTAGAGATGTGAAGACGATGTAATCAGTCCATCACCCTTGTAGTCGTAGAATTTGAGGTTGTCAGTCCCTCGGCCTGGAGAAGTTCAGTTCCATAGTCAGGAACTATCTGAAGATCAAGCGACAGTGCGGAGACTTAAATACTGTCGGAAGGAGAGGTGCAGAGTAGTAGTAGTAGTAGCAGTAGCGAGAATGTAGCCACTGAGAGGTCATGTCCCTCTCAGATCCAACACTTCTCACTTGAAAAGCTTGTCCAAGGTGTTTTCAGATAGTTCCTGACTATGGAACTGAACTTCTCCAGGCCGAGGGACTGACAACCTCAAATTCTACGACTACAAGGGTGATGGACTGATTACATCGTCTTCACATCTCTACTGTTCCTGCCTACTTTCTGTATTCGACTGAAGAAGCCTACTGTGTAGGCGAAACGTTTCGGAATAAAGTTGTCTAACTGTTGCATATGTGTCTTACCTAACAACCTGTCGGTATTGTATACCATTTTGATGTTCATCTTGTCAGACACTGCAACACATGGCATCTTTGTACAGAAAACACCTTGGACAAGCTTTTCAAGTGAGAAGTGTTGGATCTGAGAGGGACATGACCTCTCAGTGGCTACATTCTCACTACTGCTACTACTACTACTACTCTGCACCTTAGGTTAGGTAAGGTTCGTCAGGAAACAGGACAAATGTTTCCTGACGCGGGTCTTAGTCAGATGATGACCCGCCTTTGGAGCTTTTGGTCATCTGACCGAGGCCTTCCGCTGGCTTACCGGTCCACCCCTTTAAAAATTATGGTCATTTATAACCAGTCTCTGCACCTCTCCTTCCGACAGTATTTAAGTCTCCGCACTGTCGCTTGATCTTCAGATAGTTCCTGACTATGGAACTGAACTTCTCCAGGCCGAGGGACTGACAACCTCAAATTCTACGACTACAAGGGTGATGGACTGATTACATCGTCTTCACATCTCTACTGTTCCTGCCTAGTTTCTGTATTCGACTGAAGAAGCCTACTGTGTAGGCGAAACGTTTCGGAATAAAGTTGTCTAACTGTTGCATATGTGTCTTACCTAACAAGGGCGAGTGTGTACAGTGAGTTAAGGGCGAGTATGAGCAGTGAATGAGTTAAGGGTGAATGCGAGCAATGAGTGAGTTGAGGGCGAGTACGAGCAGTGAATGAGTTAAGTGTGTGTGGTACAGCAGTGTAGGCAAGTTCAGAAAGAGTGAAAGTAGCGCTTAACGCTATGTTAAAGTCAGCGCTCACGCCACTACTGACGTCATATTTGTACACTCGACAGCTGATTCCCCGGGACTGTCCATGCCTACACTCGTTTTCTCAGTAAATGGGCTCGGGAATGCATTTATAAGTACGTAAGGTGGTGTGTGGGAAGTGGAGGAGGTGAGGAGTGGCTGATGAAACATGGGGAGAGGCAAGAACCGTAGAGGCCGCAGTAAGCCAGGGCAGGGCAAGTGCTCTCCCAAGCCTGACACGGTACCGGGGGTAGGCATTGGTCTCGATTGGTAGTAGGTACACTAATTGTCCTATGCATGTATTGCTGTGCTCAATGTACCTCTGCTAATTTGGCACAGATATATTCCCTCCCCACTCCCCCTGTGGAACTTTCATTTTTGTATACGTGGCACATCACCCTAGGTCTGAGTTTAAGCAGTCACTTTTTATACCATGTCACTAGGAAAATTGTACACTGAAGATCTTCAGATCTTGCTTTTCTCCTGTGGAACTTTGTTTCATCAAGTGGTATTTATAGTTTTTACACTTGGCCTAAGGTTATGCAAGCAAATTATGAACCTCGCTGCATTGGCTTATATAGTGCCACGTACTTAAATATTCCGATTTAATAATAGACTGTTCCTTGGCAGATTTCAGCTATTAACTATAGTTTAAACTGTGCTGTATTGTTGGTTTTACATTAGAGATGCAATTTTATTATGTAAGTGGTTAAAACTGTAGTCTAACCTAATGAAACCCATCTAACCTGACCTAAAATAATATATAACAACCTTACTCAGACATCGGTAGTTGTGTGTCTTTGTTTTGCATTTGGCCAGGCATGTAACATGGTGCGACTATTTATTGGCTCATGTGCTGTGTCATAAAAATAAAATTGCATTTGTATTATAAATATGAATTAATGCTCAAGTTCTGCCGAGTAATAGTCATAAAATATAGCCTCTGATTTTCTCTTGTTTGTTTCTATACTTTGATTATACTATATATGTTGGGTTACATTTCTGTTATACTTGTCCCTTGTCCCAGAAAAAAGTTTGCAGATAGCTTTTAAAAATTTAATAATTTATTTGAACATGTTGATGTATTATGTATCAAGCTTTATGGGGTGCATAAAATTAGTTAATTTCAGTGGTGATGCCACCACTATAGCTGTGGAGTGGATTTTGGTGGTATTGTCTCATTTGTTTCTTCAGGTCAGCCTTGTATAAAGCTATTACAGTACACAGATTATTTTTATTTATAGTTTTTTATAAAATATAGCTATACAAACTTTACATGTTATAATGATTTAAATAGGATATCCATAGAATTCCTCAAAATAATCTATTTTCATTGTTCTGTACCTCACTGAAACATGTCGATAATTTTTAACGCAATATTTGAAGACAGTAATGTATATAAAAAATAAAAATTTTTAGCTGCAGTACCTCATATGTCAGTGGCAGAGCATTTGGCTAACTCCCCACAAAGGTTCAGTCCCGTGCATGTACAGATATTCGACAAGTCGCCTAACACTTGCTATCCTTATTTACTGCCTCTCCTCACTTACCACATAGGTAAATGAATTCATCACTAAGGAAGGAGCATACTATAATGGTATTTGGTTTGTGTCAACCATCTTTGATGTTGTAATGTCACCTTTGCACCATTTATAACATTTTTAGTATATTGTTAAATGTTTATACAGTAGTGTACTGTATATTATAATAAACAGAATAGAGAAAATCTACTCTAATATACATTACTTAGGTATGCATACTGGTCAGAATCAGTCGTCAGTAAATGAGTACATACATCGCTAAGTGAGGAGAGGCTGTACTTAGCAGCAAATGAATACAGTGGACCCCCGGTTCGCGATATTAATCCGTTCCTGAGAGCTCATTGTAAACCAAAATTATCAGAAAACGACTCAATTTTCCCCATAAGAAATACAGTGGACCCCCGCTTAACGATCACCTCCCAATGCGACCAATTATGTAAGTGTATTTATGTAAGTGTGTTTGTACGTGTATGTTTGGGGGTCTGAAATGGACTAATCTACTTCACAATATTCCTTATGGGAACAAATTCAGTCAGTACTGGCACCTGAACATACTTCTGGAATGAAAAAATATCGTTAACCGGGGGTCCACTGTAATAGAAGTCAAATTAATCCGTGCAAGACACCCAAAAGTATGAAAAAAAAAACTTTTACCACATGAAATATTAAGTTTAATGCAATAGAATAATTACAATAACAACAATAACAATAGAATAATAACAATAGAATAATTGACACTTACCTTTAATGAAGATCTGGTGATGATTGATGGGATGGGAGAAGGGGGAGTGTGTTGAACCTATTGTTTAGAAGGGGAATCTCCCTCCATTAGGACTTGAGGTAGCTTTTCCTCCTGAGTAATGTAGGTCCTGCTTGGCAATTTCTTCCAAAACAGGCCTGTTTTGTCACAATTAAACACTTGTTCATGTTTCAATCCTTCAGCCTCTATGTACTCCTCGAATTCATGCACATATTTTTCAGCAGCTTTGTGGTCTTAACTGGCAGCCTCACCATGCCTAATCACACTATGTATGCCACTACGATTCTTAAATCTTTCAAACCAACCTTTGCTGGCCTTAAATTCACTCACATCACCACTAGTTGCAGGCAATTTCTGTACCAAATCGTCATGCAACTGCCTAGCCTTTTCACAAATGATCGCTTGAGAGATGCTATCTCCTGCTATCTGTTTTTCATTTATCCACACCAATAACAGTCTCTCAGCATTTTCTAACACTTGCGGTCGCTGTTTCGTAATCACAGTTGCACCTTTTGCAAGAACAGCTTCCTTGATTGCCCTTTTCCTGCTCACTATAGTAGAGATGGTTGATTGGGGTTTACTATACAACCTGACCAGCTCCGATACAAGCACTCCACTTTCATACTTTGCAATTATCTCATTCTTCATTTCAATAGTCATTAGCAACCTTGGTCTCAAAGGGTTGGCACTAGAAGCTTTCTTGGGGCCTATGGTGACTTATTTTGCAGAAACAAGCACCAAAAACAGTGAAAATATGGATAATATGGAATGTACCGAATGTATCCTTAGATGCACACACACTGGCTGGCTTGTAAACACTGGTACACACGGGGAAGTTCAGGCCACACGTGGACACGTCTCGTACGAATCGCATCGCATACCGGGTTTTGTAACGGGAACCGAGGCAAATTTTTGGCGATATAATGCATCGGTTACCGGATTTATCGGATACCGATAGCATCGTGAACCGGGGGTCCACTGTACTTAGACTTCAATAAATTGGTGTGAGTTGTATCTTAAGGGAGGATCTAAGGATCCTGAGTAAACCTGGGTTATCCTGGGTTAATGCAATTACGTATAGGTAGTACAGTGGACCCCCGCATAGCGACCTTAATCTGTGCAAGAGGGCTGGCTGTTATGCGAAATGTTCGGTATGCGAATGAATTTTCCCCATAAGAAATAATGGAAATCAAATTAATCCGTGCAAGACACCCAAAAGTATGAAAAAAAATTTTTTACCACATGAAATATACATTTTCCTACACACAAAGAGAAGGATACATGCACAATAGTAGAGTAGTACATGCACAATATATATTGTGCATGTACTACTCTACTAAATGAAGAATAAATGACACTTACCTTTATTGAAGATGCAGCAATGACTGATGAGACACTGTGTCCTGGGAGTGCCTTTTCCTCCTGAGTACTGTAGGTCCTGTTTGGTATTTTCTTCCAGAACAGGCCTTATCACACTGTGTATGCCACTACGATTCTTAAATCTCTCAAACCAACCTTTGCTGGCTCTAAATTCACCAATATGAGCACTAGTTCCAGGCATTTTCCCTGTTCACCTGGGTGTTAGTCGACTGGTGTGGGTTGCATCCTGGGAGACAAGATTAAGGACCCCAATGGAAATAAGTTAGACAGTCTTCGATGACACTGACTTTTTTGGGTTATCCTGGGTGGCAAATCCTCTGGGGTTAATTGTTTTCTGGTATTCTCAATAAGCCACACCAACAACGGTGGTACAGCAGCAGCAGCAGCTGACGGTGGTACAGCAGCAACAGACGATGCTACAGCAGCAACAGACGATGCTACAGCAGCAGCAGACGATGCTACAGCAGCAACTGACGATGTTACAGCAGCAGCAGACGATGCTACAGCAGCCAGCAGCATGACGGTGGTACAGCAGCAACAGACGATGCTACAGCAGCAGCAGACGATGCTACAGCAGCAGCAGCAGCTGACGGTGGTACAGCAGCAACAGACGATGCTACAGCAGCAACAGACGATGCTACAGCAGCAGCAGACGGTACTACAGCAGCAGCAGCAGCAGCAGCTGACGGTGGTACAGCAGCAGCAGCTGACAGTGCAGCAGCAGCTGACAGTGCAGCAGCAGCTGTACCACCAATAGTAGCGATGGTTGATTGGGGTTTATTATACAACCTGGCCAGCTCGGAGACACGCACTCCACTTTCATACTTATCAATGATCTTTTTCTTCATCTCCATAGTAATTCTCACCCTTATTGCTGTAGGGTTGGCACTAGAAGCTTTCTTGGGGCCCATGGTCACTTATTTTCCAGAAAAAATCACCAAAAACACTGTAATAATACGAAATGTTCTGATTGTATGCTTGGATGTTACCGCGGAGGCTGGCTGGTAAACAATGCCACCGGCAGAACATATGAGTGTGGCTCAGGCCGCACATTGGACGCGTCTCGGACGAAGGGCGGTGAGCGGGTTTTTGGGCAGTATGCGAGGCAAAATTTTTGCGATCAAAGCGTCCGGTATGCGGATTGTACGGTATGCGATGCGTCCGGTATGCGGGGGTCCACTGTACAGTGGACCCCCGAGTTTCGTGATTAATCCGTTCCAGAGAGCCTGCCGAAAGTCGAAATTGCCGAATGGCGAAACTATTTTCCCCTTAAGAAATAATGGAAATAAAATTAATCCGTTCCAGACACCCAAAAATATTAAAATAAAATATTTTTTTTCAAATTAAATAAAGATTTACATACTGAAAACAATGAGAAATCAAGTACATGCATATAAAAAATAATAACATTACACTTACCTTTACTGAAGACTTCTGGGTGGATGGAAGGCGGGAGGAGGGGATAGGAGGAAGGTGTACACTATTGTTTGGAAGGAGAATCTTCCATTAAGACTTCAGGTATGAAGTCCTTATCTGGGGGTTACTTCCCTTCTTTGTTTTTCAAAGACACTGGCACTGGGAACAACTTGAGT